CTCACTGTCTGCAAGTGGACAGAGGAGATAAAAAAAAAAACAGCTAAGGATTCATGAGCTAAGAGATGGGAGAGGTCACTTACTGATCACCTTCATGGGCAAAACAGGCTCAAAGTGGGGATAGTACTTAAATTTATTACTAACAGGATAAGAGCCAGAGTGAAAAATAAAATAGTCTTAAAAACCATCTTTCCCCCACCCCTTCTTCCTTCCATTTTCTCCCTTCTGCCACTGCTCAGGAGAGGAGTCCTTCCCCTGCTCCCGTGGGGTCCCTTCCACAGGAGATAGTCCTTGATGGACCTCTCCAACATGAGTCTGTCCCACAAGCAAAGGTTCTTCACAAAACTGCTGTCCTGTGGGTCACTCCTCCATGGGGTGCAGTCCTTCATGGATGAGCTGTACCGATGTGGGTCCCCCACAGGGGCCACAAGTCCTATCTGGGAAAAACACGCTCCAGCAAGGGCTCCTTTCTCCATGGGCTACAGGTCCCCTGCAGGACCCTGCTCCATCATGGGCCTCCCACAGGGTCACAGCCTCCTTCAGGTATCCACCTGCTCCAGCATGGGCTCCTCCATGGGCTGCAGCTGAGTCTCCGCACCCCGATAGTCCTCCAGAAAGACCATATGAAGGACAGCAGCAGGACAACCTGCCCCACCATGGTCTGCACTGTGGGCTGCAGGGCCTCAGGGCGCCTGGAGCACCTCCTGCCCCTCCTTCTGCACTGTCTACTGTTGTTCCCATGTTCTCACTCCGCTCTTTCCTGACTGGAATTCTTTCTGTGTGTGATGGTTTTTAGTCTAGGCCTTCCTGGTGACCAGTTTGTAACCAAGAAAGTAGCCAAGTACTCAGTATTCCATACAATTTTTACGTAAACCAGAGTATAAGTCGGAGATTAGAGACCTCGCTCTCTGCTCTTCCGGCGAGGTTTGGGAACAGTGGGTCCCTGCGTTGGTCTCGCTTATCTAAGGCTGAGGCCTGCAGAGTCCACCGTCCTGCCACGTGGAGGTTTGGAGAGCGCTGACTGTGACTGCCGATCCTGCTGTTCTAAAGGACGTGGTGAGATCTGTTTTGTTAGTTATTAGTATAGTTTGATCTAGTATACCTGTTCGGTGTCCCTTTTGTTCCCTTTTGTCCCCTTTTTTCCCTTTCCCTATCCCTGCGGGGGGTGGACCCCCTTTTACTGT